TTGCTCTGAGCAGCAACTTGCAAGTTTGGGTCCAAGTTACTGAACTCTAGGCTGAAGTTTTTAGCAGCTAATTGTGATGGAATGATTAATTGTGTTAGAATATGATAAATGTGCAGTGATGGTTAGGACAGTTTACATTGAATATACCAATACTTATATACAGGAGTTTTAATGCATTATTATGAGAAGGCTAGTTATATATTGCAGGCATTTAATTGCCAAGATAGGCTGCATATTTATGATATGAAGTGGCTTAAGCGGATGAATAGTATAAAAGTTGTTGGGCATAAGGTCACAGTACTCACCTGCTTGAAATAAGCTATATTATAAAACCAACCATTGTGGTCTTGTTCACCTCTGTGCAAGATAAATTCAGATTTCACTGATGTTTGGAGCTGTTCACAACTTGTCTGGACTGTATCTTGAGTGTTCTTGTGTCTTCAACCATGTCAAATAAAATACCTTAAAATTAATTTTTCTTTTTGGGTGTCACTGTTCTTATGAAAATGGCTATGACTTTGGGCAATACCATAAGCAAATCTGGTATTTTCTGTAGTAGTGCTCTCAGAGAGCCAGGAAATCAAATATAAAATTTGGTGTATCAAAGAGAATGGTAAGCTTTAGGTCTTGTATATTAAAAGCTGGTTTATTGTTAAAATTGTATTATCAGGCCAATAAGCAGGTATATTTGCATGAAAATGTACCTCTTTATAGATCTAGAAATGTTTAGTAAGGTCCAACTGGACTAAAAAAAACCTTGCATAACAATTTATGCAATATTACATTTTTCTGCTAACAGTTGTAGGCCACATCCCTCTAAAATTCTGCATTGTTGTCACCAGGTTTAGAGAGCATTCAGGGGCATGTGTGACCTTCGTGTACGATGCTGCTCAGATGCAGAGATGCAGAGAGTGAACTGAGATGTGTAGCAGCCACTACACCCCAACTTCCTCCTGTGTGCTGCAATGAAGATGTTTTACAGGTGCTTTATGACTATAATTATAAACACCATCCTAATAGGCGAGGTACTGTATTTAACTTGTAATGAACTTGATTTCATCTAAACATTCAATTAATGTTACCAGTACAATGGGAAATATAATTACAGTCTTCAGAGACACATTGAGAACCAAATTTTGCTTTCAGTGTTCTAGCACATCGCTGAAGCTTCCAGTGGAATTTCATGTATGTGCATTCAGAATTTGATCCTTTCATTGGACTTTTCTAAATCTCCAGGTTTTCTCATATGAGTGTGTTTATATTTAAAGTTACAGCCCCATCCTGATAGGAAGGATTATGTATAAATTGTTGGTTCTACAAAATCACATAAGCCCTTACTGAAATTTGCAGATGTTATATTCATGTGAATAGCAATAGAATAAAACAACTTATAAAATGTCTTAAGGACAATGAATGTAGAGTTCCTTTACTCAGTGCAAGAGCTGCTTTATTTTCAAGACATGCAGCCTGGGTAAATTGGTGAGAAATGCAGATGCTTTGTGCAGTTGGGATTCAGGCCTGTTATTTGCCAATTTCATTAGGTACTGATATTGGAATGCTTGTACTTAATTTCTTTTTTAAGAATAAATTCTGTTTTATTAGTTCTCATTCATGCCTTGTTGTGTTCTAACACAGAGAAACATTTTTGTGGTGGAACCGATACAGTCACAATAAGTTATTGTGCTTTTTTCCTTCAAATTAGAGACCTGAATGTGGATATTCAAACAAAGCAAGAAGTTTCACTATAGCCTGTGCAGTTCCACAGATGCAAAGATCAATTTCTTGCAGCAAAAACTCTTGTGCCAATCCTTATGCCATATATTAAGTCAGTTGACTGCAAACACTTTTCTGCAAACTGAGAAATTCTGTATTGTCTTTGGTTAACATACAGTTGAGTGGGTGTTGCTTATAATTTTAAAGTAGTACTTATTTTCTAATTTTTCAGAGACTATATAATAATAGGGAAAGGTTTACTAGACACCATATTCCAGGACCTCTGGCTTTGTGCCCACAGCAGAAGTTACTGAACTCGGACATGGTGTTCACTACCATGGGATGGCAAAAAAATTAAGAAGTTGGTAGATTGATCCTTCTATCCGTGTCCACAGGTGAGCTGACACAAACATGGAGAAATGAAAAATACAATATAAGCTTACTCTGGGAATATCGTGTGCTGCAGCAGAGCCAAGACATAAAAAGAGGACAATACCAGACTGAGTGTAAGGAGACTGAAAGAATCAGTGTGTAACCAGGATTTTGAACTACTAGGACAAAGGCATTGGTGTGCTCTGGCAGTAACAAGATCAGGGAAGGTTTCAAAACAGAAAGAAGTGGTGAGATTGAGAGCTGTGAATGCAGAGTTTATTAAACCATAGTAATCTAAGGAGTTAGAAAGGTGACTCTCCCTTTCCGAAGGGCAGCAAGGAGTATTTCCTTCCCTTTGAGGAATAAGCTCTGCACCTCTAGTAGGAACTTCCGTCTGCCATCAGCTGATAAGAGTGGACACCAGACTGAACATTTCCTCTGTAGTACAAAGAGCAATCTCAGTGCTGCCCTGATGCTTCCCACAACAAACCCCCTGCATGCCGTGCCTGTGTATTTGCTAACATGCAAGGTTGCAGTTAAAACACTGCAGTTCAATGTGTTGTTCAGAGGTTTTACTTTTCATCTAGTGACAATCATAATAGATTTATTTTCTCAGCCCGTGACCCCTCGCCAACACTTTACCTAGATGACAACTGACTCCTCAAAATGAGAGGAGTTGAAATAAGTTAACTGTGAGCAGAGCAGAATCCAGCAGAAAAGATGCTGGTCCTGGATGATACATGCAGGAGTTCTTGTATCTAAGTGTGGTTTTCCACAAAAAACATTACAGGATCCTTCTTGGGATAATTTTCTCCTGATGTTCCTTGTGTAAGCAGGGGTCCTGGATGGCAGTACTGTCTGTAGGGTGTTGGGAACACTCAGCTAGCTGCCTTATCCATGGAAAAGTCCTTAGTTGTAGAACTCAGTGGTCAGAAGGATAGATATTTTGTCAACTCAGGATAATAAGGTCAGTGTTTCAGTCTGATAATTGTGTAAGGCAGTTGAAATATCAGATATGTGATTGAGGGTGTTCCAAAAAGCGTTTGAATAATGTTGTTGCTCTTTTGTTTTGTCTTAGGGGTGAAACACATGCGATTGAAAATCAAAAAGTGCCACACGCTTACCAAGAATGCTACAGGACTGAGGGGATGTTGACAAACCACACTGATCACATCCCACAGAAGCATTTTTCATTTCTCTCCTTCAGAGTCAGGTAGTACATAGTGTATAGTATATATATTTTCCCCTTTTTTCTTTTCTATCTCTGTGCAGATCCATCCAGTATTTTTGCTGACTGCAACTGTCTCTCTGTCAGAGCATCACAGGGATCCATGTAGCTAGAAAGGACCTCAGACATCAATCGTCTATCACTGTCCTGCTGCAAAACAGTATTAGTTCTGCCTAAGCTACTCCCAACTTTTATTTAGTCTGGTTTTAAACCTTCTGATCCTGCAGTGATGCTGCCTGCTTGGGCAGTTGACTTGTCTTTCACTGTCCTCACCTGTCTAAAGTCTTACATAATGTCAGCTTTGACTCTCTCTGGCTGTCCTACCCCTAGAGAACATGGGAACATTTCATCCCATTCCTGCTCTGACAGCTTTTGACATATCTGAAGACTAGTTTCATGCATGCCCTGAGTCTAAATCTTTAATTAAACCCCAGGTCTTTCAATCACATTTTATAGACCTATGATCTTTCTTTTATGGCTCTGTTGGCAGTGGGTGCTGATTTCTTGCAGATCAGCATCTTATTGCTGGAAGGAGATTTGGAAACAGATGCCAAGGTTATTCTGTGTGCATACACATGAAGGGCTTGTGTTGGGTACATCTCACTACGAAACAGCCCTGATGAAGCATCAACAAACAATGAAATGTAATATGGGGAGCTGAGGCACATTGTGGTTTTGACTTTTGCAAACAATGATTAAAGGCCTTGTGTGCAAACTGAAGGGTGCATGTTTGAACCTTAGGAGCTTGTAGCAGTTAATATTGTATTAGCTGGATGTGTTTTGGATAAATTACACCTATGAGGTAACCACAAATTATGGTTATGAAATAGACTGTGAGTTTTGCACTCACTTTGCTTTTACAAATTGCATTGTTAAAGCATTTTCCTTGAACTCCGATACTGTGGAGGTTCTGATAAACTACTTATGCCTTGCTGACCTGAAGTGTGTTGAGCTACATGAAAAATGCTGCAATGAAAAACTTCAAGGAGTGTGAGAGATCTGTATCTTCATGAATGACTTGTTGGGGAAGTTTGGGCAGGATAGATTGAGCTTCTTACTCTGAATTTAAAATGCAAGAAAATACTCCAGCCACAGAAAATGGGGCTCCACTCTGAGGTTAAAGGCTAATTTAATCCAGTAGTCATTCCTACTTTTGGCTAGGTGTCAGCACCTCTGGTCTTTAAGTCTCCCTTACACTCCTCCTGTCATTAAAAACTCTGGCATCTTCTTTGTGGCTGTAATGGGACATTATGTCCTTTGGAAAATGAAGATCTAAATTAAGAGTGTTGGAAGACAGTGCTTTAGCACTTAACTTAATAGCTGTTACTTTACTCAAAATTGACGGGTGTGGAAGAATCTCATGACCTCTTGGTAGATTCCCAATGTTCTATCACTTAAAACTGTAAGACTAATGTGATGCCAGCACTGAATGATAAACCTTATTTATCACTCTTTCCTCTCTGCTTAACCAAAAGAGAATTTCTGTGAACAAGAGAACAGCTCACTGTCGTGCAAACTCTGCAGGCAAGATTTGTTTCCTCTGCCCTATTCCACTCCCCCGGGCCGCGGCCCCGAACTTCGCTGTGGCGCGGCCAGGCGCGCCGGCGCGCCCGGGCGCTGGCGCGACGGCGCAGCCCGGCCCCGACCGCTGGGGCCGGCCCCGGGCGCGGGAAGGAGCGGGAAGGTGGCGGCTTCGCCTGTGCGGACAGTGCCGTCGGGAGATGAGAGGGGAGCCCCGAACACACCGAAGAGAAGGACAACTCTAAACGCGGGCAGATGGAGCTCGTTCAGCCCTGTAAGGCAGATGAACCTTAGGATCAAAGGGTGGGCTCAGTTCAGCGCTCACTGTGTCTCACCTGAAAAATCCACTGCGCGGGCCCGAAGGCCTTACCCGCATTTGCAAAGCCCTGTATCACCAGCGCGCTTGTAACAATTGTGGGTAAAGATCTTGCCCAAATTTTCGTTCGCGAAGACTGGCCATGATGATGATGATGATGATTCTACTCCTCCCAAGGTGAAATTAAGCATTTTTCGTGCTGTCTCCATACCCGAAATCACATGAACAAAGCTTATGGAGTTGGCATAAGCATCTTGGCATGCCCAGACAACCCTAAAAGCCCGGTAGAGGTGCACTGTCTGAGGATGCAGTCCCGGTTGGGAGTGAGGGAACAGCTGGACCTGTTCTGGATACCAAAGCAAAGCAAAAACAACTGGTGAAACTCCTCAAATTTACTGAATCTTCTGGGGGCTTTTTGTGTGTTAAGTTATATTCATCTTCCCAGGGTACTATTAGCATATTCACCTACATTGAAAAAATTAATTTCCTTGTTATATGCCAACTCTTAATTTTTTGTTCTTTCAGAATTATTGAAATTTGTGACAAGAGGTAGTGATATGAGGAAATGCTTGGTTTCTGGTTTGTTAATCAATTCCATAATATCTCATTCTTCACAATTGCTTTATTTAATAGCACCAATTTCTGCTTTCAGGTCTTGACTTCCCTGATAAGCATTTAAGTTTCAGAATTTTTAAAAATCTTTTAACCTTTATCCCTTTGATTTTTTTTTTCTCAGCCTATAATTTATTATACAGTCTCCTGTCAGAGGAGGAGGCAGACTAGGTGATTTTTACTGTATTGCAAATTATAATTATTATCGTTATTTGCATTAGTAATGGATTCATTCTTATCACTGAAAACAATTCCATTATCTGATCAGACAGTTATCTTCACACTGTCCGTGATCATATCTTTTCATTAGGCACCTCTTTCTCTGTGGGTCAAAAGGAGAATTATTCTTTAGTTCAGTCACTTTTCACTCTTAACATTTTCCTTGCTTAAAAAGAAGTTTTTAATCCCCAACAAGGGTCTGTTGCTACAAAAATATGCTCCTTTCTGCTGCTGTGTTGCCATCCCTTCCAACCCAGCAAGGGATGGCACAGCAGTGCCAGGAGCTGCCCTTCAGTGACCTCTCTGTCACAGGCACTGGGAGAGGGTTTGTAATTCAGGTTCAGTGGGAGGGACTGAGAGGCTGATTTTCATGACCCAGTAAAGATATTTTAATGCCTTTTGGGATTAAAGCAAAGGCTTGAGGACCTACAGTCTCTCTTTAATGAAGGGCAGAAGCTTTCTTTCCCAAACCCTCCCTGTGTTCTCTGGGAGATGCAGGTTCGGAGAGGGATAATTGCAGAATGAGGGTGCAGAGGGAGCAAACACAGTCTCCTCACTGGCTCCCCACTAAATTTACTGTCCCTCTCCAGGGGTGTAAAACGGACACAGGCACTGATTTCCAAACTGCAAGCAAAGGGGAAAAGAGACAGGTTGGAGAGAGATGTGAGGTCAGGCCACAGACCCCCCTGAGGAACTGAGAGCACCTTGGTGAGAGCTGCAGGTGGTGGACAACCTCTTTCACACCTCTCCTGATGACTTCTGAGTAAGGAATTAAGGACAGTGCTGAAAAGGTTGTCAGTCTAAACCAAGAGTTTGTTTTATTTATTGTTAAGCAGTTCCTGTGGGAGTTTCTGTCATCTGACTCAGGCTGTGGCCAGCAAACAGAGTGCTTTGTGTTGGGAGAAGGAGGGGATGGCTTCTGCTCTTCCATCACCTCAGGCAGGAACATACACATGCTTACTCTGTGTTTTGCATTCCGTGTAAAGAAGGTGATGACTATATTCCTCCTTAATGGAGAGCCTCTTCTAAGCAAGCAATGGTACCGCACTCAGGGCAGACCTCACTCTCCAAAAAGGATATTCAGGACTCCCAGAGGAATCCAACCTCTGGAACTTCACACCCCAAAACTGAGGTACCCAAGCCACCAGTAATGTTCATTGCTGTTATTTTTCTTGAGAGCGAGACTTAGGTTATAAAAAATTTAATAATATAAATTACTATGTAAAGAAGTGCATTACTGTGGAGATTTAGATCCACCTTTTTTCCCCCTTTACCTCCATAACTGGTGAGATGTGAAGCCATTACCTACATAATGCAATTAAAGGTAAGATTTTCCATAGGTTGTGTGCCACAACAATAATTCCATGGGTCACAGCACAAAGAGGAACTTGAATGCAACTTTTGTCTTTGGGTCTCACATGTCTTCAAGGTGCCAGCAAGGGTAGTAGCCACTCAAATGTTATTGTGTAATTGAATACAACATTTAGACATAATTTAAAGAGTACTTTGCTTCTTGCTTCTGTTTGTATATAGGCACGGTTTAGAAGTAAGTGTCATGTAGGTCACTATAAGTATTTTTTCATTCAGGGCTGTGGAACATCACATCGACCCTCTCCTTTCTTCCTCTGCCCTCTGCTGAAGCCTCCTCTTTTGACCAGGTAAGAAAGGGGATACATCCTACCCTTTTCTTGTTTTCAAATTTGAGAGGGTTTGCAGAGGAAACAAAATGAGTATCTTAAGTTACATAATTTCTTTGGCAAAAAAAGTATTTTGTTCTAGTAAATATGTCTTTTGACAAAGAAATTGTCCCCAGTTTATATCAGTAACAAGTTGTTAACAAATTTAGTCTTGTTTTTCCACAGTTAAACACAACCATACATAGTATATATTTCTGAAGTATGAGGGTATGGCAAAATACCTTAGGATTTACACTCAAACTAAGGAAAGACTAGCCTTCAAGGCATAACATCATAAAATTCTTATTTGCAACCTCTGAGGACACATCCCAGGAAGGTATGGAAATAAATACAAGTACGTTACACTGTCAGCTGTGACTGGGTGATGAAAGCTCTAATATGACAAACTAGATTAAAAAACCCCTCAAGAGATTCAGCAAAGAGAATTCATCAATGCCAAATTAAGATACGCTCAGATATTTCTTGAAAGATAGAACCTCATTATCCTACTGATTTACGGAACAAAGTAATGACTGTGGACAGCATTGTCTAAAGACAACAATGAGCTCTGGTATAGCTCAGTAATAATTAGAGCCACATGAAATCTTCAATTTATTTTTTTTTTATTATTCTCAGATTATTTGTAATATGGGAGAAAAATGCATCACACATGGTAATCTCAAATGTAATAAAAATACGTGTCCCAAGTTGTTCCCATATTTAAAATTCTGATTGCAGTGCTGCCCACCAACAAAATAATAGTAATTTCTGGCAGGAATTATAAAACCTTAACTACAGCACAAAGCATTTTTCACCAAATTACTCACTTTATATCCACAATTATAGCCCATTTGTTTTCTTATGCTGATAACAAAAGATACATTTTGAGATCCTTGCTGTGCTACTCTTCCTTTAATAAATAAAGTGAGCTTTTCAAAAGCTACAAAATGATGCGGATAAAAATCAAAACATTCCTACATTTAAAGATTCAATCAAAGACTTGCCATGAATGGTGTGATATTAAAGTTCAAAAAAAAATAATCAATTTAGTGTGTATTTTTGAACACAATTTGTCACAAATAGCATTCCCAATAGATAAGAATGATTATATGGTAAAGAGAGTAATTTATATATCTCAAGCGTTCTGCTTTTGTCACCAACATCGTTAAGGAATTTGACACATTTGCAGGAGAACAATATATGTCAACTGAAATATATACCAATTAGCCATAAATGGGACACTGAAATGAATGATGCATGTGCATGCTATACTTACAAGTAATAACATGTGGTTTAAAGTCGCTCGCGTTTTCAAACAAGAATTCTTTTTATGTTGTCATTTAAAATATCTAATATTTCAAAAGGTCAGGAATAAATAGCACCATTAGCATTAAAAGCTAGCTAAAGGGAAAGTAATTTGTTGTTCATTTAACATTGCATTTTATGTAATAGCTTTGTAAAATGTTCAGAGGGGGGAGATTTTGCTCGGCTAAAACAAGATGACGGCAGCTCCAGTTCATTATTAAAAGGAGATTTTTTATTATGCTATTGTCAGCTTTAATGTCTTGATTCTGTTAGGTGTTTGTTAAAATTACATGGGTTGCTGAAGTGGCTATGGCAAAGGATAATGCCGAGAATATCGTAACTGTCAAAACAACTGCGTAGGCAAGAATCTGCTTATACCAAGGTAATGGAACAAAAGACAAAGGAGAAACTCTTCTACAGTGTTAGGAAGTTAATAACCCTGTTGAGGTTTCCTCAGCAGGAGGTACTGAGATCAGGAAGCCAGTGTCTGGAAGAGACAAACAGTGAAGGCAGAAGGAAGTAGGCAATGTCAGGGGGGTGTGGTCTCTTAAGGCAACAATATTATGCTCCTGAGGGAGCAAAATTGGGTGGAATCATAGAGTAGTTAGGGTTGGAATTGACCTTTAAAGGTTGTCTAGTTCACCACCCCTCCCCACCCCTGAAATAAGTAGGTACAGCTTCAACTAGACGAAGGTGCTCAGAGCCCTGTCCAGCCTGACTTTGAATGTTTCCAGTGATGGGGCATCTACCACCTCTCAGGCCAACCTGTGCCAGTGTTTTACCATTCTTAAAATAAAAAACTTCTTCCTTATATCTAATCTAAACCAAATAGTGCCTTTTAATCTGGGCAAGAGGCACAAGTGCAATTTAGAAAGTTTTTAAACATAAAAGCAATCCTGCACATCTCTGACTGAAACTGAAATTGCTGGAAGATATTATCTTCAGTTGTGTTAAAGCAAGGAGCAGTTTGGCTTTTACATAAGGAACTTAGTCCAGCTCAGAGCATGCCCACAGGTAGCTAATCTTCAATGCTGATGATGGTCCCTTTTCTATTCTTTACAGCCCTCATCTCCCTTCAAGAGCTGGCAGAATGCACTGAATAAAAAAGAAACACTATTTTTTTTCTATATTAAAAGAGTAGTGCTCTAAGACAGAATAAATTGGTTTCAACCTCCACCACTGCACAGGGAATCTAAAGCCTTGCTGGGAGGTTGATGTCCTTCAGGAAAAGATATTATGGGGGAGGATCAGAAAGGCAGAAAGACCAGAGCGCCCCAGTCTGGGGAACCTGAGAAGAAACTGCAGGAAAGGTCCCCAGGACTGTTAGGTCTGTGTAGTGGTAGATCTCCATCAGTTCTGTGGGATTTTTTCTGTGAGGATGGACTACTTCTGGCAGCAGAGGCAGTCCAGCTGGCTTCTCCAGCAGCAGGCTGAAGGAGCTGAGACAGGATTACACAGGGTCAGAAATGAATTCGTGAACTCTCCACACTTTAGCTGAATGTGTTCATCAGAAAGCATGGAAAGAACCGATCCTCTCATTGCATTACCTCTTTCGATCCCATCATCCAGCAGTTTTGTTCAAGGCTGAGGCCCAGCATAAGGGATTTCAGGATACTTTGGAGAATGTTATGATTATAAGCATTTCAGTGAAACTTCACTAACATTTGAAATTTTCTGTGCAGATTTCTCAAAATAATTCTGTTTAGGTCATAGAAATCCTAGAATAGCTTGGTTTGGAAGGCTCCTTAAAGACCACCTAGTTCCAGCCCACCTGCCGTGAGCAGGGACACCTTTCACTAGGAAAGGTTGCTCAAAGCCTCATCCAGCCTGGTGTTGAACACTTCCAGGGATGGGGCATGGTATGAGCTCAGTTCAGCATTAACACCCCAAAACACATTCGCAATTCTCCATCAAGTTGACTATTCCATCTCTAACAGGTAATTAAACTTAAACTTCTGTCCTCATTTTGTAACCTCTCACCGTCCCCTCCTATCTCTCTTTCATCTTTATCTCGTGCTAATTCTGGGCTTAGCCTTCAGTTTGACTAAGAATATCAGATTCCTTAATCCACTCCTCCTACTCACAAAGCAGATCTGCTTTCTTTTGGTACTGCCCAGGAGCCACTATCCAGATTCTGTCACCTGCCCCCTTTCCTCCTCTGGTTTGAAATTATTTCAAAACAGGCTGAAAGCAGGGGAACACAACTGGTTTTGGCTCATTCTCTCCTAAAGCTATTAAAAAAATTCTATCTATAGAGAGATATCCATAGACTTAACCTCTGCCTCCCAAACTAGCAAAAAAAACCCCAAACCAAAACAAAACAACCAAAAAACCCAAACAGACAAACAAAACAACAACAAAAAACCCCCAAACAACCAACAGCAACCAAAAAACCCCCAAAGCCAAAACAAACAAATAAAAACCCCCAAACAAACAAAATTACCCCCACATATCATCAGTATACGACTGCAGACTCCAGTGTTTTCTGCATGAGTAGCTTTTATTGATAGCAAGGTTATGTGCTGTTAGCAAGAAGTAAGAGTTTGCAGAACATCTTCTCTCACGCTCTCGGACCCACAGAAATGGTATCTGAAGAAGAAATAAATGCAAGCACCTTGAGTTGTCAACATTTCTTGAGATTATACAAATGGATTTGTTTTAATGTAAGTCAGCCTGATTTGTCATGTGACACGAATGGACAGAACAAATGTTGAGCATCTAAGTTTGAAATATTACTGCTGGGGAAAGCACTGATAGACTGTGTCCATTCTACTCTACTGCCTGCCTTCCTTTAATTTTAGTTTCTTTTTCTTTTCCAGATTTTGTGCTACCATCACTATGTAGATGACCACAACTACTTGTACAGAGGCCATGAGTCAGTAGAAAAGTGAGTTCCTATCTACAGGAATACACTTCATCAGTGATGTGCTTTGGTGTGGTGAACAGAGACTAAACTGGACCTAGAATCTCTGCTTTAAGGTAAGTTAAAGTGGTGCCGTAATCACTTCCCTTTGCTTGAAATTGTTTTCATCTCCCATGTTGTCTTTTAAGTGATGGAATTTTAACTGTGCATTTGTATATGGATCTAAAACTTACACTGTACCTCCTGTTCTAGATACCAATTCATGGGGTGGATAAAATAAAATAAGCAAATGAGGGACTTAATTACTAAAAGTCCAGGAAAAAAATGGATCAGTAAATCCTACCTCTGTAATCTGAACATCAAGCCATATTCCATGAAGTCTAGAGCAATCGCTTTTAGCCTCTTTACTTCAATTTTATAGAGAGGCTTTAAGTGCAGGCTCTAAGTACTAGTCCTCATTGGAAGGCTTATTGTCACCATCCTCTTTTGTCAATCATGACCTCAAGGATCATCCATATCAATGGAATACTTCTGCTGGTCCCAGCTGACTGTGAATCTGACACAAAAACAAGCAGTTCTTGTGGAGCTTGGCAAGAGTGATGCTGACAATCCAGCCAGCACTAATTTTTCTCACCCAAAGAGTTATACAGGAAACTTGCTCTTCTAAAGCCTGGAAAGATTTTAAGTTTTTCTTTCGAGTTATTTAAGGTCAAGACTTGAAGTAGTAGTGAATCAAACTATGGATCAACAGTGTCTTGAAAAGAAGGAAATAAAAGGTTTTCTTGAGGGTCTTTTTCTTTTAATGCTTTGAATAGCTTTAGTTGTGAAAAGGCTTTCAATCCACTCACAATTTTGTCACCTATCTTCTCAAGTAACTTTCAAGATTTTCCCAATGGATATACTTACTGTGTTCCATTTTGTCCAGATTCTACTGTGATAGTTGAAGCTCCTAATTTAGGCAAAGTTGGATTAATCCAGTTGTTGTTCCAAAGAAATTTAACCTTTGTAACTTTTCCAACATTAACTTCTGCGTCGATGTAGGCTGTGTAAGTGTTGTCTGGTTTGAGAGTTCCCCTGTGAAAAACAACATTTTATGGATGTGAGGCATGCCAGCATCTACTATTAATTACCAGTCCTCTCATTGGCCTGGCTGTGGTATCAAATGAGTAGAGAATTAACAGAGAGACAATATTTATCATATAATATGGTAACAACATTACTGCTAATTTTCCAACTTAATTCATCCCAAATCAGTGTTTTTCAGAGGCAGGTAGGCCTGATATGCTGCAGTCACACCTCACAGTGAGGACTCAGTTAGAGGATAATCCCTGTGGAGGTGGTAGAGTTTGCTCCCTGTTGCTTATGCAGGGAAGGGATTTTTTTGCATATAGATGAAATTTTCATTTAATGTTAGTTAATTTATATGATACAGATGTTGGGTTTGTTTTGGATGGGCAGAAGGTTTATCTACTAGCTGCTCAGCCTGGCTGTCTAGCAGAGATTCCCACACTGTGGCCAAGTAACATGGCCATGTCTTCCTGGTATCCCTGGTTTATAATCTGACTACTTGCTTCATATCGCACCAACAGAGCAAATTCTAAATGACAGCAGTTTGAGACTGGTGAAGGCTTCAGCTACTGCATCTCACTGAACATTAGCCAATACTTCTCCAATCCTTTTCTTTGCTGTCTCTCAGACCCACACTCTATTTTCTTAAATTTACCCCTGTCAGCAGACATTTGAATGAATCACCCAGAAGAAACCTCTATAGTTTTATCAAGCTTCATGAGAAAGACAGGACTTTCATTCCTCCCCCTAGCTTTGTACTCGCTCCTGCATCTGCCTGCAGAGGAGAATGTTTACTCCCCTCCATATTAAAAGACTTATGGTAGTGGAAGTAATGAGAGACAGGACAAAATCCGTCTGCCTTTTTGTTCCTCTGTTGGATCCACAGTGGTGCCTGGTAGGATACAGCAAGTTTTGCTGGAGAAGAAAAGAACTTCACATCCAGCAACTGTATTGAAACAGGTCCTACAAAGCTAGAGAGGGCTGGAGTGCATCCCATACTGCCAGGTCTGCCAGATTCATCTCAGGTGAATGCACAGATGCATGTGAACTGGGATCAGCTCATAGCACACACCTTCTGCTGGCATGAGGATGTGAAGTCCTTGGAAAAGTGGAAGTGACATAGTTATAAGTAAAAAAAGCAAAGAATTAAACCCAAACCTCACATCAAAATGCCTTCTCCGTATTTTTCATAATTTCAAATATTTTAGTTGAAGCAAACAAGAAAAATGCAAATAAACAAAAACCACAAGAGGCAAGGAAGCAGCTTCAGTGTAAGCAGGAAAGATATGAGCAACAAAAAGTAGATTTTTTTGTATAGTAAATCATAAGGTAACTTTAGCTGAAAGCAACTGTGGCAACATTTTACAAGCCTGTGAAAGACAAAAAGATCAGAACTCTCCTATTGCAGGTCCAGCAAGTCCTTTGTGGAACAGC